TTGGGGTACATGGTGATCTGTTTCTGGCAGTTGGCAGCACAGCAAGGCTTTATTAATCTATCTTTTTTTTTAATTAATCTACACTCAATAGCATTTCAAATCAGGAGAAGGAGGGCGTGAAAAAAATGTTGTCCCCTAGAGGGGAATAGGGTAGAAAATAATTGAGAAACACTAATATGCGAGTCTGAGTTGTTGCAGTACCCCTGCAAACCTGCAGGGTCCATCTCCAAGAGAAAGTCATGCACTTTCTCTTCCATTTATTCCTTAGGTGACAATTTTAAAATTTGACTTTTTTTTTTTGGAGAAGGAGCTGGATTCAAATAGTTTTCAATTCATTTTCTTCAGGCGGGTCTTCGCCACCTCTACCAGGACACTGTGACTTTGAATCAGGTCTCTGTGGTTACACTCAGGACAAACAGACAGACACCACAGACTGGCAGTGGAGAAGAGGTCCAACCCCAACCTCTTATACTGGTCCCAGAGGAGACCACACATCAGGCCTGGGTGAGGATTTCTCCACGGTCTCACCCCTCTGCTACGCACACCTCAAAAGCTCCACCCTGACAGACTTCTGTTTTTTAATCTGATTGGCAGGATATTACCTTCACATGGAGGCCTCTCCTATGCTGCCTGGCCAGAACGTCCGCCTGTTGTCCCGGACCCTCAGGGGCTCCAGGGGGCCCCAGTGCCTGACCTTCTTCTATCACATGTACGGCTCTGGGTGCGGTCAGCTCAGCGTCCATTTGGACAAAGGTGGAGAAGAAACGCTGCTGTGGAGACGCAGCGGAGAGCAGAGCATCACCTGGCTGAGGGCACGAGTGGAATATCAGTCTGACAGACAGCATCAGGTACAACAGGAGCATTAGTGTGAAAATGAAATACCAGCGTAAAACATATAATGTACATTTAGAAATCCATTGACAGTGTAGAAGCAAAATATTACAAAATGTTATGGACACCGCAACCAGAGAGCAGCAGTCTTTGGAGAAAATGTTACAGTTATTTTAGGATGTACTTAGTGCCTAATATCACAGTGAGAAAAACAAGAGGAATCGAAAGGTATTTCCTGTGTGGTCTGCTATTTCCCACAGTGACTCTGACTGATCCTTTTACAAACTGAACAGTTTCTGCTTAAGATACAGCTGTGGTTCTTACAGCAAGTNNNATCCTTCCTAAATCCTCTTCCCCCCACCCTACACTCTCTGTGTCCCAGGTCCTTTTACAACCTCCCTCTTTGAGGACTCGAAAAAATTGATTCAAAACTGACTTCAAAGTGGAACAAAACCATTTTGTCTTTCTCCAAATGAACATGCTGCCGTGACAAATGCCTTGTGTGCTGTTAGTGAGACTGAAAGAAGGCCGGGATTCCAAACAGGAAGTCTGTGTCACCTCAAAGGGACAGATTCGATTTCTGAGCCAAGGAAGACAAGAGTAAAATGAATGAAACAGACACAACCCCATAAGTGACAATTACCTCTTTTTAAACATTATATAAAGTTCAAATTATGTTACACTTTATAAGTTATATACCGTAATTTCCGGACTATAAGCCGCTACTTTTTTCACACCCTTTGAACCCTGCAGCTTAAACAATGATGTGGCTAATTTATGGATTTTTTACCGGCTAACAAAGTTCATACCGCTAGCGATCAACGACTTTTCTGGTAGGCTACTGTGTGTTATGCTATTAGCATATGTCTGTCTGTGAATGTATATGTGTGTGGGGCATGAGAGAGAGAGAGAGAATGGTAGCAAAAGTTGAGCCCTGTCATGTTGACAGGAGCTGTTAAAACTCTGTTGATGTTCTGTTGTGCTCGATGTGGCTGATAATAAAGACCCTAATTCGCTGCGGACAAGCACAAAGTGAAGGAATTTAGCCTTGGAGCTAATGTTAACTTCGGCCCTGGAGCAGATCACTAAGCCTCCCCCGTGCATTCCAACTAAGGTCGGGGCGCCGAAGCAGGAAAGAGCTAACATGTAACCAGCCGTGTTACAGGCACTGTTCGAAAAAAAGCATTTATTTATTTCAAAATGAAAAAAAAACTTTCTGTGTAAATATCCCATGTTACAACGTGGACACCATGTCGAAAATTAAGTACAGAGTGTGAAATCAACAGCTGAAATGAATCATTGATATTTTGGCAACAATGATCATTTTCACCCAAACTCTAGGACAGGCATGGGCAAACTAAGGCCCGGGGGCCGGATGCGGCCCTTTCAGCTTTATAATACGGCCTGCCAAACTTTTCCAAATTATATAATTTATTTATATTATCATTATACGTATGTCTTTTCCCTGCAATACCCACATTTCACCAATAGACGGCATAGAAAAAGATACATTTTAGCATTTTAGCCTTTATGCAGGACTTTTACGTGTCATTTATCTTAGTTCACGTGACTGCTCCATCTATCTGCTCCTGAACCAGCCCCCCTGTTCATTTTTTAGGACAATAATCAGTAATATACAGTATAGTACCCAACTGATCCCTGCTTTGGGTCTGATCGCAGACCTCGGTCTGATAGGTGACCTGCCATTTAAAAATTGAAAATTTCTCTAATTTCTTTGTTACAGCTTGTGTTTGAAGCAACCAGAGGCTCATCGGTGAGGAGCGACATAGCCATTGATGACATTGTCTTGGAAGGTGGTCCCTGTCCTGGTAACAAAAAAATTGCTAAACTTAAACAAACTGCCAAACAAGAAGTGATGATTTTGAATATTTAAGTTGCATCTGATCAACTAAAGCATTGTTTTGTTTTTCAGAAACAGAGCTCCAGGCCACCGCAGGACCCTCCAATGAGATTGAGTAGAAGCAGAATCAGCTGCTAAAATGCATGAACTCTTTTTTTTATGATTCCAAATGTCAACGGTTACCTGCTAAATGTCATCTCCAGACAACATCTGCATGTATGTGTTGGTGGAAATTGTACTGACAACTCAAATTCTTCTCCGATATTGGTCTGGTCCATTGCCAAATTTCACAACCTTTATCATAATATTGTTTAGTGATATCCACTACTTTACAAATATCAACATTATTTTATCACCAACCACACATTCTCACATGGATCTTCCCATCAAACAAAAATGGTCAACTGACCCACATGAAGTAGTAAAGTACAGCTCATTGGCCCACTTCTGCCTTCCACCATAAGCAATAATAGCTAGCCCAGGCATTGGCAAACTTTTTGACCACAGTGGGTCCTCAAATTTGACGGGGGATCGGGTCAGGAACAGATAGATGGAGCGTTCGTACGAACTAAAGCAAACGACACGTAAAAGTCCGTCAGTCAAGGCTAAAATGCTAAAATGCTTTTAGCCTTGTCTATGCCATCTATTGGGGAAATGCAGGCATTGCAGGGGAAAGGCAGAAGTTTGTTGGGCCGGATTAAAAAGCCAAACGGGCCGCATCCAGCCCCCGGGCCGTAGTTTGCGGTTAGCGACTAAAACCTTTTGCTAAAACTTATTTAGAACAAGCAAGTCTGTTTGGCCCAATATTGAAGTAAAAATGGTTGTATGGCCTAATGTACCCTGATATTTTCTAGACAAGTGTGAAGGGAAGTTTATTTGGCCTAATTTTGGGTATGCAACTTTTTTTGGGCCATCTGAACAGATGATGTTTGTATGGTCTGATCTATGTCAGGCAAGTTTTGCAGCCCACTTTTGGGTCCGAAAGTGTGGCCAACAACGACCTACTGGGCAACATCTGTGCACATTTAACAATCTGCGCCCCTAAAATCTTGTAATGGGTCCACTATAGCTGCACCGTAGCAAGACGATATATATGCTGTAGCATAGCATTTGAATGTTCTACGTGGGCAGCATTAACAACTGTCCACGTAGAACGAAAAGCGCACTTGTTTTACTGCCGACAATTCCGCTACGTAAACCTCCACATACAGACGTGTTGACCGGGCCAGATTGTGTAGAATAGATTTCAGGCTTAAAGACCATGGGAAGACTACTGTACCATTTCATGAAGCAAGAACATGTGTGTTTGTTCTAGTCAACATTTCTCTCTGCAGTGTATCCACAGAGAGTCTTATGCATTAGATTAATGCTCATGGCTAAAAGAATAAAGATTGACAGCTTTTCCACGCCATCATTGTTCTTCTAACCTCAATGCTGACCTGACAGTTAATGCTGTTAAACACAAATTTAATAGGATAAACCTTGGATAACTTGCTTTTATTTTAGATTTACCGTATTTTCAGGACTATAGGTGGAACTTTTTTTTTTTTCATCCTTTGGCTGGGTTAGCGACTAAAATTTATTACTTCACATTTGTTATTTTCAAACTGACAGCCGCTAGAGGGCACTCTGGGCTTGTGTCCCGGTATCTACAGGGAGTGCAGAATTATTAGGCAGGGAGTGCAGAATTAATGGGCAAGTTGTATTTTTGAGGATTCATTTCATTATTAAACAACAACCATGTTCTTAATGAACCCAAAAGACTCGTTAATATCAAAGCTGAATATTTTTGGGAGTTGGGAGTGGGGGCTTTTTTTAGTTTTAGCTATTTTAGGAGGATATCTGTGTGTGCAGGTGACTATTACTGTGCATAATTATTAGGCAACAAATATATACCC